TGCTATGCAAAATTGATTTTGTATAGCACATTTGCTTTGCAAATTTTTGGCTGGAAATTGTTCCCTGGAACTAGAGTTTATTTTGCCATAAGGTAGTATGATTATGCATGACACGAAGTATTTGCTAGTCTAGTACTGAAGAAATTAGCGTTTAGATGCGCATTGTGCGGCTTTAAGCTCGGGCCCTGAAGGATAATATTTGGCTGATTGATTGTACAGTTGTTCATGTTTTGATCTTTGATATGGGAAGTATAGCAGGTCTAGATTTTGAGCCGAATTTATGCATAAGTGATTGAAAAATATGTTTTTGTTTTGAAAGAACTCTTCAGACTGTAATGACCTAATCTGTGGCTTGTTTACCTTATATGTGTAATTGCCATTGTGTATAGAGAGTGTTGTTACTAGGACCCAACGCCTCCCCCAGGTGCCAAAAATCATTTTTGATTCATTCAGAAACGATCTTTAACGATACTGTTTGTAATATAGTGAACCATCCCTAACTCTAAATACCACACCGTCAGGTGCTGCCACCATGCGGTCTATATTAGGATTAGTGCAGACTGTATAACCAGTTAAAACCAGTCAATAAAACAGCATGAATCTAAAGCAGTCGTGTTCTCTATCACTCCAAGAAACCCCTAGAAAACAAGCAAACATTACACTGTTGTAGGTGATTTTCAGTCGAAATTGCAATGGCCATTTTATTTGCTAGATGGCGCCCATAGTCAGCTATGTATACGTACAGTTCAAAGTCCCCGCATAAGCTTACCTGGCTATTACTAACCCCAGAACGCCCTTTAAATAGTGATGTCATGAGTGCGTGCCACCCCGGCAAGCGAATTAGCAGCTGTTCTGATCCGCTGTTTCTACGCGAGTTTGTGTACATATAGAGATCATATTTGTTGGCAGCGAATGGGAGCTTAAGGCAATGGACTTATTGTGTGTATTTATTTACAACAGCAGGACATTTTTTGAAGTTTGTTGATGTTAAACAGTCACAGATAAGTTGCAGCAAGTACTAACAGGAGCTATTCTACTTACCTTGATCAATTCTAAATGCAGCCGTTCAATCAATGTAAAATGTAGAAAATTGCTAATATCTCCATTTGAGAACTCGTAACTCTGATTCCAAAAAATCTTTGTTTCGTTTTAATGCTAACATATTTAAGGAAAAACCTGTCACTGGAATTTTTATGAAATATTATATTTTATGGCTCTTTGTTTATGAAATTGTTGTGTTTTAAAAATCATTCCAAATTTTCGTGCATCTTTTTAACTTATTTCCTAAACTAAAGCATTTAAAAAAAATTCCAGGGATTGCTTTTTTAGTTCATACTATGAACAACTTATGGCTAAAAGTTTATGTCCCAACTCTTTGCTGTTTCTGAGAAATAAGAAAAAAACATATTTTTATATAAATTCACAATTTTTGCCATAACGTAATTAGCAATGAAGTTTTTTTTTCATCGAGAGCATAGTTCTCTTTTATGAAATCGATATGAGTTTGATTGAATTTGATGAGCAGTTACGTTGCAATGCCCTTTACAGAGGGACCTGTCCGTAGCATTGACTGTATCCTTAAGGATACTCTCAAGGTTTTAGGAAAATGTTTACCGATTTTTCATTTTTAACTTTATTCGATGGCTAACACTACGTGCTACGTGTACATGCTCATTTCTCCATATAACGGTACATGTGAACTGTCAGAGCGTTTTGATTGTCCGCGTACATGTGTAGTGAGCCGCGGCTGACGTCATGATGAAGTCAGAGACATGATACATACCAGCGTTTTCATGATATTCACTGAGCCAGTATCCATCAACATCAACCATGCTACATGCAGCTGTACTACTACCCTGATCCAACAAATATCCCACAAGAGCCCAAAATAGTTCTCACACCTCGCAACACATCTTACATAAGGCGCGCGTTTGTTGACAGTGATGTCAAGCAATGGGCGGGTTCGCGCCATTTTTGCATGAAATTGCATCGGTCACCTCGTAATTTCTCAGAATTTCTCAAGGTGCATGGAACATTTTACCAATTTAGTGGTGACAGTTAGTCATGGATATGTCTCAGTAAGTACTAACAGTAGATATTTCACATACGTTCACCCATTTTTCACACAGGCGGTCGATCATTGTGAAAAATAGGGTTCCAATTGACTTAGTAGTCGATGTAATAGAATATTTCTCTTGTGATTACAACTCGGAATAGATTAAAAATATTCACCCCCGTTTAAATGGACCTATATATTATTGCTGTAAAAAGCGATCAGGGATTGTTAATTTAAATGCCGTATTTTGATTTATGTCTCTTTCGCAAAATTTATATATATATGACGGTGAGACGCTGAATTTGGGCAGTTTTTGATTTTTTCTCTGTAAATATGAAAACTTGAAAACTAGCGCTATTTTGTACATATTTGCTTACATGTGGCGAAATTTTGTATCGCTCACTCTTTCTGGTAAGTATATCCATTATTTTAAAAATTTGTGTGGTAACATAATAGGTGCTGCTGAGGAAATTTCATGTAAATGTTTGCTTGAGCAAAGAGGATATATTCGTCCTCTATAATATCAAGTGATTTGATTTCGATTTCATTCGTCAATAAACGTTTAATCTTTCATTAGAGCAATACCTCGTGCAAAATGTGGAGATGTACCTTAATATGGAAACTGTATGTGGTTGCTTTGCAGGTATTCGATACAATCTTACATCGGCCAAAGTACAGCGATGATATAAATGAGTACGAGCAAGTGCAAAAAGTACTCAGAGATGAAGATTTGTCAACCCTCTAAGACAGTAAGTGTAATGTGTTGATTGTGCAGAGTGTAAATCAACAGTATTGATTGTTGGACCAGAGTCCGCCACTCCAGTGCGATTCTGCCCTAAAAAACTCTTACCAGTTTAACATCTTTTAATTTATCCAGCGAGAGGCCGCGCAACGAACAGCATAAGACTAGAATTTCTCGCTCAAATAATTCGTAAACAGACGGCGCCCTTCAATATTATCTAGATGGGGCGGCACATCAGCTGATCATGGGTTGAGTTTATCTATAGATATGCACGGTTTAACATCTGCGGCGCAAGAGAGTTAATATCAGAGCAACCCTGGCCTAGTACATCAGCCATAGAAACACATACGCAAAATCGCTTACTATTCTACACAATAACTTCGGCTAATTAACAAGCTCTACCGTACCGCACTGTTACACTAGCTCCTGTCTACAGGCAGTGGCTGGGGTGGATAGTTGGTCCTCAATTTTCGTTTGTATGATTGCGTTCCAATTAGACGCAGGCACACGTACACGCCGATGCGTGCTAGTCGTGTGAACGTCCACCGGCGTGCTATGGCAATATATAGATAGAGATGGCGTGCGGTGCGTGTGAACGGTTGCTCGAATGCCTAGCTACCGGCATGCGTGTGCTAACAAGGAGAATGCAGTGCGTCGTGTGTACTACAAAGTCCAAAACGGGGCAGAGCTACGTGAGCGGTGTGCGATGCAGTGTTCGTGCGTGCGTACGTCCAGCTAATGGAGGATAGTCACGGGTGGTGGATGTTTGCGTGGACGTGCGTGCATGCGTGCATGTGGCACAGTGCGTGCGTGTGTGGGCACGTTAGCACAGTGCGAGTGCGCGTACGTACGACGGTGCGGTTAACAAGGAGATGTGTGATCGCAACGTGCCACGATGCGTCGCGTCGATGCGCGTGGGCACGAGCTACACATGGCTGAGTGCGTGAGTGTGAACACGTGTGCGTGCGTGCGTGGTGCAACGTAGCACGTGCGTGCGTGTGCACGTACACGTCTATGGTTGGCCACGGTGGACAAAAATCAATACATGACTACATTATTATGGTCACCATAAATCGACGCAATGGGAAGCGAGGATTATATGCCCGCATATAATCGAAGCGCAATCAAATCAAAAGAATTATGTCCACCATGACGTCCCCGTTTTGACCACTTCCGTCCAAAAATCAAAAGGAATTATGTCCACATAAATAACTCCGGTCCCCGTTTTACACTTCCGTCCCCGTTTTACAATTGCATAATTATACTGGATCGGACCCTCACGCTCTGCTACACAATGTACACGCTCTGCGACGACAGTTCGGCCGCGAACCAGTCTAGCCAGACGTGAAAATCTCAGCGGGCGCAGGCCATAGCATAATTTGCAAGCGCTAGCATACATGCCATTTGGATCAAGCGAACCAGACAATGCGTCTAGACGGTCAAAACGGGGACGGAAGTTATTTATGGTGACATAATTCCTTTGATTTGATTGGCTTCGATATATCCGGGCATATAATCCTCGCTTCCATATGTCGATTTATGGTGACCATAAATATGTAGTCATGTATTCTTGATTTTTGTCCACCGTGGCCAACCATACACGTCTAACTTCGAACTCGCTTATAACGAAAGCAATGCCAAGCTATGACAAAAGAAGCGTCATAGGCGCCGCCTGTCTATGTAGTATGGTAATTATTTATTTATTTTTAGTTGAGTAGTGCGTGTGCACGCACACGTGCGTGCATGCATGTGCACGTGTGGGTGCGTGCGTGTGCACGTACACGTGCGTGCGTTTGCACGTACACGGCTAACGACGAACTCGCTTATAACGAAAACAATGCCAAGCAATGACAAAAGAAGCGTCAAAGGCGCCGCCTGCATGTCTGTGTAGTATGGTAATTATTTATTTATTTTTAGTTGAGTAGTAATTTTATAATGTTTTCTCAATCAAGTAATCCATGATGGAAACACTTGTGGAAATTTCGAGTGGTTTACGGCACCTCTTCAGCTCGTGTAAAGTTACGCAAAGGTTTACGTAAATTTTAGCTTGATGAATCGCACCTAAAACGGCCTCAGTTGCGTACGCGAAATCGTACGCAAATTTACTAAATTGTGTTGATCAATCGCAACTAAGCAACGTCGATTGCGTACACAAGATTTACAAAAAATATTTTGCGTACGCGCGTTGATGAATCTACCCCCAGGAAACTTGAACCCACCAGTTATCCATACACTCTACGCGGACATACCCTAGCCACTGCCACATCTGCCATGTGGGGGGTCGCGTCACACTAACGTCTGACCTCCGATGGCATAATCATATCAGCTCTATCTGTGGTAAAGCCAATAGAACACTATCCTGAGGAGGAACTTGAATATTTCCTCAATGGAAGCTAAGGCACTTGCCTATATCTCGTTGGTTAGGCCCACAGTAGAGTACGCCAGCACTGTATGGTATCCATACCAGGCTCAGGACTGCCAACGGCTTGAAGTGGTTCAAAGACAAGCAGCGCGATACGTTGCAAACCGCCACCATAACAGTTCTGGTGTTACTGACATTCTTGAGACACCCAACTGGCCGACGTTGTAGTCGACGAAGGCTATGCTGTACAAGCTCGTCAATGGCATGGTCAACTTGGATACCGACAACCGCCTGATACCGTCGCACCAGGAACATGTCAGAACACTTTTCCTGCAGATGTGACTTCATGAAAGGCTCCTTCTTTCCTATAACAATTAATGAGTGGAACGCCTTACCTACTGAAATAGTGATAGCTGAGAGTCTAAATGCCTTTAAGACTCTGGGGGTAGATTCATCAAGCTGCGTACGCAAATTATTTTGCGTAAATCTTGTGTACGCAATCGACGTTGCTTAGTTGCGATTCATCAACACAGCTATTTAGTAAATTTGCGTACGATTTCGCGTACGCAAGCGAGGCCGTTTTAGGTGCGATTCATCAAGCTAAAATTTACGTAAACCTTTGCGTAACTTGTGTGTATGTGTCAGAGCGAGAGAGAGAGAGAGAGAGAGAGAGAGAGAGAG